TATGCTTACATTCTCCTTCATCTTTAAAATTGCCATCATATCAGATAAAATCACAGCCAGACCTCTGGAGATCCTCTGAGTCTGGCTGTGATTTTATCTGATATGATGGCAATTTTAAAGATGAAGGAGAATGTAAGCATAGAATAAAGTATATAGTCTCAATTTTATGCGGATTTACACTATTGTTTATTCCATATATTGGATGGGCATATTAACTCTTATAATATACTAATAAGAATAAAAATAACTACCATTATGATGGGAAGGGCAAATATAAGAGTTAATACAACAATCGATACAATAAAGTTTTCCAATACCCCAAAGATGCCCAATATCCAGATTCACTTGCATGCGCTGATACAGCAAATGGACAGGACACGTCCCTGTTCACACAAGTGCACCACTCTAGGACATCTGCCCTACCAGAAAGCCTTTCCAGAGAGCACTATACATCTGTTCAGGGCACAGTAAGGAAGCATTTTCCATTACCCCCAAACACTTCCAGCACAAGATGAACTAGGTCCCACTCCCTCCACCTCTTTAGCCCCTTGGGATAGTACACACTTTTTTTTAGAGAAAGAACCCTTCTCAGGAGACCAACACAGACGGAAATGATCCAGAGAACCCATAGAGGAAGAGGAAAGAAATAGTACAGGAATGCAGTACTATCAAAATTTATAATTTGTCCAAAACTACCTTCAGTGCGTCCGAATAAATACAGTTTATTACAGAAGGGTCTGAATTTTGCACCACCTAATTTGCCCAATCTTTTTGAACTCTTCATTGATCTCAATAAATTTACACTAAGTCTCACTCTACAGAGATTTTTCTATGAAAAACTTGAATACAGAGGTAGGAGACAGGCATATTAACATCAATGATTATGGAATCTGATATAGATTCAGATGGGGAGGCTATAGCCATTCTTGAAGACCTTTGGACGGAAGGTGGTAGTGAATCATTAGAAAATGGGGAGCTTAATCCGTATGGTCCTTGGACCACTGATACTCGGGGGCCTACACATAATGTCCGCATTGAACATACTGGTTTCAGCCCAAATCTACATTTCATCCACATTGGGCTAAAGGGCATTATATCTCTTCATTTTATGAGGTGGTATATACAAAATTTAAAAATTTGTGTCTCAGATCTGGCCTTGAAAATTGTGCCAACATGACTCCCACAGATAAAAAAATCTTTGGAGTTACTAAAGAATCTAGATGTTGTCATTAGACAGGTGGATAAAGGAGGGGGCCTAGTCAACATGGACAAAGAGGCCTACCTATCAGAGGCGGTAGACTCTTGGGAGACACCAACACTTATGAACTTAAAGATTGTCTTCCTGGAGATACTATTGTAGCATACAGATTCACCCTCAAAAGTCTACTGGATGCAGCCGTCCATGACAATATTCTCACCAAGCAACTGTTGGCATTTCTTTATAGACCATTTCCTATGTCGCCTCACTTCTAACATATCCCTAAGATACATCAAGATATAACAAATCGCCCTGGAAGACCCATTATATCAGGGATAGATAGCCTCTCAAGTAATTTGGGCAATTACATTGACCATTTCCTACAGAAGCAGGTAGTGGAGTTTATCCTCATATATGAGAGATTCAGGTCATATATTGGAGATTTTATCCAACTACCGGTGGGGAGAAGAACTATAAGTGGGTGCCCCTAGACGTGTCATCTCTGTATACGAGTATTCGCCATGAATAAGGCCTTCAGGCAGTGCAACATTTTTTTAGCCAATGATCACTCTTTACACCGTTCCCAGATCAGTTCCTTTTAAAATGCATTGAGTTTACCCTCACTCATAATTATTTAATTTTCATTGAACAATTCTATAGGCAAACTAGAGGCACTTCTATGGGAGCAAAGTTTGCCCCTAGCTATGCAAACTATTTTATGGGCTTTTGGGAACAGAATTGCATCTGGCATCATAACCCGTTTGGAGCCAATCTAGTATTCTACACCCAGTATATTGATATTCTCATTATATGGGATGGTGATCTTACTAGGTTGAAGGAATTCATCTCATATTGTCAATCTTACCCATACGGGATTGAATTCACTTATGATGTGGATGACTCCAGCATAGTGTTCTAGATTTGGAACTTAAAGTGGGACTCGATTCACGGGTGGTACCCAAGACTCATTTTAAACCCTACAGCTGGGAACGCATATTTACATGCTAGGAGCCACCATCATCCCAGATGGATCAAGAATGTGTTCCTTTTGGGCAATTCTGCAGATTAAGGAGAACTTGCACCTTATTATAAGATTATGATACTCAGAGCATAGTTTTGAAAGAAATTTCTGGAGAAAGGGTATGCAGCCACTAATATAGAGGAGGCATATAACAAGTACAGATCACTATACTCTGATACAACAATTCCATCTGGTGATCCCCATGCTTCACCTAAAGTAAACATCTCCAAAAATAACAGGAACACGCATCATGCCGCATTTTGCACCAGATACAACCAGAAGGCCTTTAACATTCAAAGGACACTGAACAAATACTGGGGAATTTTAGCTTAAGACCCTCACCTCTCTGCACACTTGCCGCCCCGGCCAGAAGTTATCTTCTGATGCCCACGGGATTTGAGAAGTATGATTGCTCCCAGTAGGGTTAAAACCCATTACTACACGGTCTATTTCGGTATGGAGCACGATTTTTTGAAAAAAAAAACAGCGTGGGGTCCCCCCTCTTATCCATACCAAGCCCTTCAGGTCTGGCATTGATATTAAGGGGTAACTCCACGCCGAAATTTTAAAAAAAAACAGCATGGAGTCCCCCCCAATATCCATACCAGACCCTTATCCGAGCATGCAGCCCGGCAGGTCAGGAAAGGGGGGGGGGGGGGGTTACAGGCGAGTGCACCCCCTCCTGAACCATACCAGGCCCACATGCCCTCAACATGGGGGGGTGCTTTGGGGCAGGGGGGCTCCTCCCCCAAAGCACCTTGTCCCCATGTTGATGGGGACAAGGGCCTCTTCCCCACAACCCTGGCCAATGGTTGTTGGGGATCTGCGGGCGGGGGGCTTTTCAGAATCTGGAAGCCCTCTTTAACAAGGGGGCCCCAAGATCCCGCCTCCCCTATATGAATGAGTCTGCGGTACATGGTACCGCTACTAATTCCCAAAAAAAAACAAAAGTGTAGTGTAAAAAAACACAGTACAGGGTCTTTGACAAGTCCTTTAATAAAACAATGTCCCCCCGAAGTAGATCGAATGTCAATCACGGCGACCCGAAAAAAAAAAAAAAAAAAAAAAAAAAGCTCCTGTCAGGGCTCCCAGGTGTGACCAGAGATGTGTGACTGACGCAGGGAAACGCAGACCTCAGATATGTTATAAACAATATAATTTATTAACACTAACAATACAAACATAAACGCAGTGCAATACTAAAACATAATACAGTGCAAACAAACCAAACCACCCACAGATAACAGTACATACAAGCAAGCGTCGTCAGGCAGGCCGGGTCAATATCAATAGGGCAGGTAGGTACAGGGGGAGCAAGCGGAGATTGGTCAGGGTCACAAGCCAGGGATTAGAACAGGTAGCAAGCAGCGTGGTACAGAGGGTCAGACAGAGGGATGGTCAGGAGCGAGCCGGGATCAGAGCAGGAGAAGTCAGCAGCGGTTCAGAAACAGGATGCAGGACAGAAACAGGATGCAGGACAGAAACAGGATGCAGGGCCCAGGACAAACACACACCAAGGCAGAGTCTGTGGGTCTGGCCATCCCTTAAATACCCCAGCATAATCAGTTACAGGTGTTAGCTGGCTGCAAAGTTGAGTCTCTGATTGCTGGGAACACCCGCTGGCCAGCCCTGGTACTGCAGATCAAAAGGCAGGTGAGTCCCACCATAGCTGGCCAGTCCATTCCTGACAGTACCCCCCCCTCAAGGAGCGGCCTCAGGACGCTCCAAACAGTCCTAGCTGGGAAAAATGTTCCACCGCCCGGGTCTGGTAACTGGCGGGGGATATCAAAGACTGGCACACCGGGCAGGACTCCGGGCAGCGGTACACCGGGCAGAGGCACATCGGGCTGGACTCCGGGCAGAGGCACATCGGGCTGGACTCCGGGCAGAGGCACATCGGGCTGGACTCCGGGCAGAGGCACATCGGGCTGGACTCCGGGCAGAGGCACATCGGGCTGGACTCCGGGCAGAGGCACATCGGGCTGGACTCCCGGGCAGAGGCACATCGGGCCGGACTCCGGGCAGAGGCACATCGGGCCGGACTCCGGGCAGAGGCACATCGGGCCGGACTCCGGGCAGAGGCACACCGGGCCGGACTCCGGGCAGAGGCACACGGGCCCGGACTCCGGGCAGAGGCACCGGGCCGGACTCCGGGCAGAGGCACACCGGGCCGGACTCCGGGCAGAGGCACACCGGGCCGGACTCCGGGCAGAGGCACATCGGGCCGGACTCCGGGCAGAGGCACATCGGGCCGGACTCCGGGCAGAGGCACATCGGGCCGGGCCTCCGGGCAGAGGCACATCGGGGGCTACCAGGCGACTAGCAGCAGGCAGCGGGCCACCAGGCGGAGCGACAGGCACCGGGGCCCCCAGGCGGGCGACAGGCATCGGACCCCCAGGCGGGGCGACAGGCCTCGGACCCCCAGGCGGGGCGACAGGCCTCGGACCCCCCAGGCGGGGCGACAGGCCTCGGACCCCCAGGCGGGGCGACAGGCCTCGGACCCCCAGGCGGGGCGGCGGGCGCCGGGGACCCAGGCGGAACTACAGGTCTCGGGCCCTCAGGCGGAGCGGCGGGCGCCGGACCCCCAGGCGGGAGCGACAGGTCTCGGGCCCTCAGGCGGGCGCGACAGGCATCGGACCCCCAGGCGGGGCGACAGGCATCGGGCCCCCAGGCGGGGCGACAGGCATCGGGCCCCCAGGCGGGGCGACAGGCATCGGGCCCCCAGGCGGAGCGGCGGGCGCCGGGGACCCCAGGCGGAGCGGCGGGCGCCGGACCCCCAGGCGGAGCTACAGGTCTCGGGCCCTCAGGCGGAGCGGCGGGCATCCGGACCCCCAGGCGGAGCGACAGGTCTCGGGCCCTCAGGCGGAGCAACAGGTCTCGGGCCCCCAGGCGAAGCGGCGGGCACCGAGTCACCAGGCACGACAGGGGCACCGAGTCGTCTGGCAAGACTGCGGGCACCGAGTCAACTCTGGCGGAACAGCGGGCATCGAGTCAACTGGCGGAACAGCGGGCACCGAGTCGTCTGGCAAGACTGCGGGCACCGAGTCGTCTGGCAAGACAGCGGGCATCGAGTCAACTGGCGGAACAGCAGGGGCACCGAGTCGTCTGGCAAGCGGGCACTGGGGCACCGAGGCGTCTGGCACCGAACAGCGGGCATCGAGTCAACTGGCAGCTAACAGCGGGGCACGAGTCGGCTGGCAAGGCAGGCACCGAGTCGCTGGGCAAGACGGGGCACCGAGTCGTCCCCCTGGCACCAGAACATCAGGCATCGAGTCAACTGGCTAAGCTGGGGCACCGAGTCGTCTGGCAAGTATGACGGGGCTCCGAGTCGTCCTGGCAAGGACAGCGGGCACCGAGTCGCTCAGGGGCACCGCGGGCTCATCGGGCACCGGAGTCAACTGGCAAACTGCGGGCACCGAGTCAACTGGCAAGACTGCGGGCACCGAGTCAACGGGGAACAGCAAGAGTCGTCTGGCAAGACTGCGGGCACCGAGTCGTCTGGCAAGACTGAACAGCGGGGCATCGAGTCAACTGGCAAGAACTGCGGGCACCGAGTCGTCCTGGCAAGACTGCGGGCACCGAGTCGTCTGGCAAGACTGCGGGCACCGAGTCAACTGGCAAACAGCGGGCATCGAGTCACTGGCAAGACTGCGGGCACCGAGTCGTCTGGCAAGACAGCGGGCACCGAGTCGTCTGGCAAGACTGCGGGCACCGAGTCGTCTGGCAGACTGAACAGCGGGCTTCGAGTCAACTGGCGGAACAGCGGGCACCGAGTCAACTGGCAAGACTGCGGGCACCGAGAGTCGTCTGGCAAGACTGCGGGCACCGAGTCGTCTGGCAAGACTGCGGGCACCGAGTCAACTGGTCTGGCGGAACAGCAGGGGCATCGAGTCAACTGGCAAGACTGGGGCACCTCAACTGGCAAGACTGCGGCTGGCACTGCAGGCACAGCGGGCACCAGTCTGGCGACAGGGGCACGAGTCAACTGGCGGAACAGCAGGGCATCGAGTCACCTGGCAAGACTGCGGGCACCGAGTCGTCTGGCAAGATCGCGGGCACCGAGTCGTCTGACAAGACTGCGGGCACCGAGTCGTCTGGGGAAACAGCGGGCTTCGAGTCAACTGGCGAAACAGCGGGCACCGAGTCATCTGGCAAGACTGCGGGCACCGAGTCGTCTGGCAAAACTGCGGGCACCGAGTCAACTGGCGGAACAGCAGGCATCGAGTCAACTGGCGGAACAGCGGGCACCGAGTCGTCTGGCAAGACTGGGGCACCGAGTCGTCTGGCAAAGACTGCGGGCACACCGAGTCAACTGGCGGAACAGCAGGGGCATCGAGTCAACTGGCGGAAGACTGCGGGCACCGAGTCGTCTGGCAAGACTGCGGGCACCGAGTCGAGTCTGGCGGAACAGCGGGCATCGAGTCAACTGGCGAAACAGCGGGCACCGAGTCATCTGGCAAGACTGCGGGCACCGAGTCGTCTGGCAAAACTGCGGGCACCGAGTCAACTGGCGGAACAGCAGGCATTGAGTCACCTGGCAAGACTGCGGGCACCGAGTCGTCTGGCAAGACTGCGGGCACCGAGTCATCTGGCGGAACAGCGGGCATCGAGTCAACTGGCGGAACAGCGGGCACCGAGTCGTCTGGCAAGACTGCGGGCACCGAGTCGTCTGGCGGAACAGCGGGCATCGAGTCAACTGGCGGAACAGTTAGGGCACCGAGTCGTCTGGCAAGACTGCGGGCACCGAGTCGTCTGGCGGAACAGCGGGCATCGAGTCAACTGGCGGAACAGCGGGCTTCGAGTCGTCTGGCAAGACTGCAGGCACCGAGTCGTCTGGCAAGACTGCGGGCACCGAGTCAACTGGCGGAACAGCAGGCACCGAGTCAACTGGCGGCAAAACAGCGGGCACCGAGTCGTCTGGCAAGACTGCGGGCACCGAGTCGTCTGGCAAGACTGCGGGCACCGAGTCAACTGGCGGAACAGCGGGCATTGAGTCAACTGGCGAAACAGCGGGCACCGAGTCGTCTGGCAAGACTGCGGGCACCGAGTCGTCTGGCAAAACTGCGGGCACCGAGTCAACTGGCGGAACAGCGGGCACCGAGTCAACTGGCAAGACTGCGGGCACCGAGTCGTCTGGCAAGACTGCGGGCACCGAGTCGTCTGGCAAGACTGCGGGCACCGAGTCGTCTGGCGGTGAACAGCGGGCATCGAGTCAACTGGCGGAACAGCGGGCACCGAGTCGTCTGGCAAGACTGCGGGCACCGAGTCGTCTGGCGGAACAGCGGGCATCGAGTCAACTGGCGGAACAGCGGGCACCGAGTCGTCTGGCAAGACTGCGGGCACCGAGTCGTCTGGCGGAACAGCGGGCATCGAGTCAACTGGCGGAACAGCGGGCACCGAGTCGTCTGGCAAGACTGCGGGCACCGAGTCGTCTGGCAAACAGCGGGCATCGAGTCAACTGGCGGAACAGCGGGCACCGAGTCACCTGGCAAGACTGCGGGCACCGAGTCGTCTGGCGGAACAGCGGGCATCGCGGGCTCTGGCGAGTCGTCGAGTCACCTGGCAAGACTGCGGGCACCGAGTCGCGGGCTCTGAGTCGTCTGGCAAGACTGCGGGCACCGAGTCAACTGGCGGAACAGTGGGCATCGAGTCACCTGGCAAGACTGCGGGCACCGAGTCGTCTGGCAAGACTGCGGGCACCGAGAGTTGTCTGGCAAGACTGCGGGCACCGAGTCAACTGGCAAGACTGCGGGCACCGAGTCAACTGGCGAAACAGCGCGCACCGAGTCAACTGGCGAAACAGCGCGCACCGAGTCGTCTGGCAAGACTGCGGGCACCGAGTCAACTGGCGGAACAGCGGGCATCGAGTCACCTGGTAAGACTGCGGGCACCAAGCCAACTGGCAAGATCGCGGGCTCTGAGTCGTCTGGCAAGACTGCGGGCACCGAGTCAACTGGCGGAACAGTGGGCATCGAGTCACCTGGCAAGACTGCGGGCACCGAGTCGTCTGGCAAGACTGCGGGCACCGAGTCATCTGGCGGAACAGCGGGCATCGAGTCAACTGGCCTAATAGGATCATCAGGCTGGATCAGTTCATCAGGCTGGGTAGAAACATCATGCTTTGATGAATGGAGGCATCAGGCTGAATGGAGGCATCAGGCTGAATGGAGGCATCAGGTTGAATGGAGGCATCAGGCTGGGTACAGGCATCAGGCTGGGTACAGGCATCAGGCTGGGTACAGACCTCAGGCTTAAGTGCGGGTGCCGAGGCACCAGGCTGAACCACGGAAGGCAGGTTCTCAGACGGCAAGCTCACCAGTTTGGATACTGGCAGGATGGTATTGGTTGGAAAGAATTTTCGCTTTTTTTCTGGTTTTAACTACTGGGGCACTGCAAGTAAACGCAGGTTTGTAAACGAATGGAGCAGCTGAGGACAGAGAAGAGCTGGAAGATGGAACAGAGGAGGGAGCAGTTGCTACAGAGGACTTCTTTACAGGGTTAAAGAAAGGATAGATGCAGCGAGTGGGAGCAGAGGACTGGTATGTGGTAGTTAGAGTATACTGGGCAGTCACTGGGGGTGCTGTCGGGGATGTAGGAAGAGTGCCTTGAGTGGAGGAATGATGTTGTAAGCTGACTGAGGCTGACTGAGGCTGACCATGTCTGCAGTATGGGTTGAACAAAACTCAGCTTACACAAAGCCTGTCTGACCAAAGACTGCACTGCGTTTATACAATCTCTTAGTATCTGTGGTGAACATGCAGCATAATGCTCCAAGAAGCAATCCACATCATCCTCTAATAACCATACCAGGGACTCTACCTGGTCGGAACTAAATGGCGGCAAAAAGTCATTCCTGCTTTCAGGGGTACCAGATGAAACCAACTCCGCACAAACCTGAATCAATGGCTGCACCTCAGAGAATTCTGTGCCCTGATCTACTAGAACATGAGCGATCCGTATACATTCTAGCAGTTGATCCCGGGTATACTCCTTCAGAGTCTGATAAGCATACTCTCTGTCATCAAACACTAGCAGATATAAATACACAACCTCATCAAGATCCATCCTTCCCATCAACAAGCCAAGATGACTTCCCTGTGCAGCCACTTCTGGTCAGGATTGGCCTTGGTGTAATGTCAGGGCTCCGGGTATGACCAGAGGTATGTGACTGACGCAGGGAAACGCAGGCTTCAGATAAGTTATAAACAATATAATTTATTAACACGAACAATACAAACATAAACGCAGTGCAATACTAAAACATAAACACAGTGCAAACGAACCAAACCAAACCACCCACAGATAACAGTACATACAATACAAGCGTCGTCAGGCAGGCCGGGTCAATAACAAACGGGCAGGTAGGAACAGGGAGGAGCAGGCAGAGAGTAGTCAGGTCACGAGCCGGGTACAGCAACTGACAGGCAGGTAGGTACAGGGGGGTCAGGCAGAGAATGGTCGGGGTCACAAGCCAGGGATCAGAACAGGAGAAGTCAGCAGAGGTCCAGATCAAGCAGGGTCAGCAACAAGACAGGAACAGGAACAGGAACAGGATGCAGGAACAAGATACAGGGCCCAGGAAAAACACACACCAAGGCAGAGTCTGCAGGTCTGGCCATCCCTTAAATACACCAGCATAAGCAGTTTTCAGGTGTTTTGGCTGGCTGCAGGGTTGAGTCTCTGATTGCTGGGAGCACCCGCTGGCCAGCCCTGGTACTGCAGCCCATAAGGCAGGTGAGTCCCACCATTGCTGGCCAGTCCATCCATTCCTGACATATACACTCAGGGGATAATCCCCCCTCCCTGCATAATGACACAGGGTGGGGCAATCTACATTTAGTAACAAGAGACACACCAGCAGACAGTCCCATCAGGAGGGAGGGCTGCTGGAGACACGCCCCACCAAGCCAATACCCATAAACACATACATCCCATAATAGTTTGCGCCCAAGCAAGACACACAATAGAACAATGGGATGCAACCACATGGCATTAAACAATCAACAACCCCCCCCACCCCAATATTAGGACAGATCACCCTGTACCCCTAACAGGCATAGGGTGACTTACATATAAGAGGGATATGGGGAGCTGAGACAGGGGTCTCCCCACCCCTCCAAAGTAAGTTGAGTTCCATGGACCCCCCACTCCTGACACATAGTGCATTTGCGTTTTGAAGTGTTTTTTTTTAAATATAAGCACAGGAGAACCTCCCAAATGCCCAGAATGCACTGATAAGTGGTAAATTATGAACTATTTCAGACTGTTTCAGAGAAATACAGAGAATAGAAGCAGAGACAGCAGTATATGTTGAGATTAGCTGAGGTGTGAGTTGCTCATTAACATTTCTTTTGTTTCCAAGGGTGGGAAAGGTGTCTGGTGGAGGAAGTCATTAAGGCCACTTGGCAGGGGGTCTTCATGAGGAAGTTGAGGTGTGAATGGTCATTACCATATCTTTTGTTTCCAAGGGTGGGAGAGGTCTGAGGTGTAAATGGTCATTACAATGTGTAGAGAACTGAAAACAATGGGTGCTGTGGAAAATGCTCTCAGTCAAGGGATGTGATTTGAAGCCAATAGGAGCGTTCTCCGATCTCAGCTCCCTTCAGAGAGGACGGGCCGTCCGTTGGATTCACACTGTTCACTTCAGGCTGGTCAAATTTTATTATATTTGCTACTTTGTCTCACCCAATAAAGATGCACCTTCATTAAGGTGCTTGACTGAGAGCATTTTCCACAGCGCCTATTAATTCAGTTCTCTTCATCATGCAAATGATTAACAAGGCAGCAGTGGTGAGCTCATGATTAACTGTTCACATGTTTCCACCTGGAGTGGCCTCTCTGCGCTCTCATTTGTATCAGTTTCCCTTTCATTACAATGTGTGACAAGCTTGGTGGGAACATCCTGTGTTCAGTGTTTTGTCCATCTGAGTACCTTGAAATCGCTTTGCATGCATTTTTCATGATAAAAAAGGTTCTGGACAGCATTGGGAACTGGAAGAGTCTATTTGCCGCGTTTACAAGCGTTTACAAGTGTTTTGTGTTTGAAACGCTGATAAAATCAACTGCTAAACGCAATTTTTATGCGTTCAAAAAAAGA